GAACAACGTAATAAAAACGTATATGTAAATAGGTTACTATAACTACACATATTGTCATTCATGGGGGGGGGGGATAATCACACTATATTAAAACAAGATTTAGTAATCAACCATTCACTGGTTAGAAAATTCACTGCAAGCATATTTGACCTGCAACAACCAAGCCCTACTGCAGCACTATCAGGACAGATTTTTTAATCACTGCTACTAAGGCAAAGGGGTGGAATGTTACAAAGGCTGAGTGCAGCATCACCCTCCAACAATATTCCCCAAACCCTCTGGAAAAATAAGTAACCCCCCTCAAACTTTTTCATTTCCATACAGCTCATAGAATTAAACAGACTCCTCAAAACTCAAAGGTTTCCAATATATGCTGCACTTTCAACAAGCACCATACAGAAACCTTCCACTGCATATGAAGGTTCTCAATATATATATATATTATCTAAGTTATGAGAAACTCAGTATTAACCCCCCCCCCCCCAAATACACACACACAAACAAATAATTTTATCTTGTCCATCTTCCATCACATTCTCCTCCTCCCATTTTGGTGCAGCTTGCTTTGAAGGTCTGAGCTATCTCCTATTAATGCTTTTTCTCTTACTCACACTGCAGGGAGATGGGTGGGAAAAAGGCCTCTGTCAGAAGACAGAGTTGCCAGACATCCCTTTATTTTCAAGTTGACAAGTCTCTTATTTTAGTGATCCAAATCCCTGTTTGTTTTAACAATCAGTTGGACCACTGAGCCATCAATCACACTGCTCCCACCTTTATAGGGCAAACATAAGGAAATAAATACAAATATAACAGCAACTTGAAGGAATTAGGATCTACAATGCAATGCTGTTTCAACTTGACTACTCCTCTTTAATTCTAGGCCTTTATGTGGGTCATTATTATCATCACCTTCTCCACCCTTACTTCTTACTAGGTTACCAGAAGAAAAACACATTAGGGAATGCAGATGGTAGTGTAAAGGACGCAAATATAAACATGAAGACAAGATGGTGCAAAGCTAGGCCTGGGAGACAAAGCTGTGCTGAAAATTTAACAAGCTTATATGGAGGTGGGGAGTAGGGAGGCGTGAACAGATGATGGGCTAGCAACGCATGGGGAGTGGGAGACACGTAGACAATTCTAACTATATAATACGGCGAACATGAATCTGGTTATGTGGGATTTACAGAGAAAAGCAACAATATAATATAGGCTTAATTCAAGAAGAAGAGCCTAATTTGATCATAGATATATTCTAGTTTTAGCTAACTGAGAGAATGGGCTCACAGTTATGAAGCAAAGAGGGGCATTTGTGCATTGCCACACAAAACAGCCTTGTGAATGCTATTAGGAAAAAAGCAAGAGATGGTGGACTGGCTAAGAAAGTGGACTGGAGAGCACAAGGCCTTTAGAAAAGCAGTACGGGGTTTCAGAGTGACAAAGCAAATGAAGGGAGGGCGAATGAAAGAACTAGGCACAGAGAGTGCTGAGAGAGGCTTTGGAGGTAGAAGGCAGAGGTACTGACAAATTAGGCCGAAAACAGATGGCTGGGGGATGAGGAAAATAGTGAGCAAAGGAAAAATGGAAGGATATAAGACTGACCTAGTAAACTAGGTAAATAAAGGATGAGGTTAGAGGAGTGGAGAAATGCATTGAGGCAGGTTTAGGGGGATGAGAAGCTTTGGCAGAATTCAGGGGCTGAAAAATATAGAAGGCACGGGGGAATATCAGCCTGGAATGGAGCAGAGAAATATACTGAGAATTCAGGGAGTGATGATACACAAAAACGCAGGTGTGAATCTATCTCCCTTCTTTTGCAGCTGAAGAAAAAAGATGGGCATATAACAGGTTCTCCATTAAAAGCAGAAACAAGAAGACAGGAATGGGTCCTCTAAATCCTCTTATCAGCAGAAACAACAGACCTATATTTTGTATTTTGAAGAGATGTTTGAACACATAATGCCCTATAAGGAAGGAGAAAGGCCCTTCCACATGCCATCAGTAAGTAAGAAAGTATTGAATATCAGAATATGTGGAAGGAAGAAACAAGGGGCAATTCTATTAGAAAGGGGAACCCCATTTAAAGAAAGTGGAGGTACGATGGATACAATAATAATCTTTATCCCATAACTGAGATAGGACCATCTATCAAGGGAAGGGGTATGTGTAGGTCAAAGGGTGTAATCAGATCCATCTCATACATGAAGAAAAGCAGATTACCTATTTTGAAAAGATTGAATGATGGGACTGGATGACAAGGGGGAAGCACCAAACAGAAGTGAACTATGTGAAGTGGACAAAATGTGGATAGAGGTCCAGGGAAGAAGAAGGGGTGCTGCTTGTGGTGGAGAGAAGAAAGAGAAATGAAGAGGCAAAGGATATATGTGTGTGAGAGAGGGTGAGATGTTGGGAGGAAGACCATGTGCTAGAACAACAGAAGCTGCATGAAAGAGAGAAGATGTTAGAAACAGGTGAGGGATCAAAAAAAGTGTGGAAATCTATTTTATATATAATATAATAATTTAATTTATTTTCCTCTGCCCCTCCTCAAGATCTGGGGTGAGTTACAACACAGTGAAAATACAGAACTAGCTAGATAGAAATAGATGTAGAGCAGTGGTCCTAAAACTGTGGTCCATGGACCACTAGTGGTCCACAAGCACTAAAATATGGTCCATGGCTTCACCCTTACTACACTGTTGCAATGAGAGTGACTGGTCTTGCTAAACCCTCTTATAATGCCGAGGCTTATTAAATATTGTTTTCTGTGGGTGAGGAGATGGTGACTACTGGATGGCATATTTTCTGTATCAGAAACTAGAGCTGGTGTGGTCTATCCAATGCTACTTTCTGAATAATTTTATTTTAATCTGTCTGTATGATTTTCTTCTTGGCAATTGAATGTTTTGCCTTATATATTGGAAACCGCCCTGAGTCCCTTTGGGGAGATAGGGCGGTATACAAATAAAGTTGTATTATTTTATTATTAAATAACCAAACCAAATCTAAATTAGATCAAAAACTGATTTGTAACCTTTTTGGTACTAATTTTGGAGAGTGGTCTGTGGTCAAAAAAAGGTTGGGAACCACTGATATAGAGCTAAAGGAGTATAGAGATAGATACAGACTATCCATTCTTTTCATCTCAGAAACCTCACCTTAAAAAAACAATCAGTAAGAGATAAAAAGAGACATATAGAGATAGACAAAACATATATAGCTGAGATAGAGACTATCCACCCTCTCATCTCACTTTTTTAAAATAAAAAATAGGTAACAGATATAAACAGAGACAGGTATAGACTTTCTTCTCTCATTAACCTCACTTTTAGAAAACATAAATCTACAGAGATAGATGTGGACTAACCATCCTCTCCATATAACCCTCTCCTTTGGATCAAAAGAGAGATAGATAATAGATATAGACTATCCACCTGTCCATATAACCCTTGCCTTTGGATCAAAAAAGAGAGATATAGACTATCCATGTTCTCCATATAACCCTCGCCTTTGGATCAAAACAGAGATAGATAGATAATGGATAGATACAAACAGAGATAGATAATAGATATGGACTATCCACCTCTCCATATAATCCTCGCCACTGGATCAAAATATAGATAGATAATTGATATAGACTATTCATCCTCTCCATATAAACCCTTGTCTTTGGACCAAAATAGAGAGATAGATATAGACTATCCATCCCCTCCATATATTCCTTATCTCTGTTTGTATCTATCCATTATCTATCTCTACTTTGATCCAAAGGCGAGGGTTATATGGAGAACATGGATAGTCTATATCTCTTTTTTCATCCAAAGGCAAGGGTTATATGGAGAAGTGATAGTCTATATCTATGATCTATCTTTATTTGTATCTATCCTCGCCTTTGGATCAAAGCAGAGATAGATAATGGATATATACAAATAAAGATAGATCATAGATATAGAATATCACCTCTCCATATGACCCTTGCCTTTGGATCAAAAAAGAGAGATATAGACTATCCATATTCTCCATATAACCCTTGCTTTGGATCAAAACAGAGATAGATAATGGATAGATACAAATAGAGATAGGTAATAGATATAGATTATCCATCCTCTCCATATAACCCTTGCCTTTGGATCAAAAGAGATATAGACTATCCACGTCTCCATATAACCCTCGTCTTTGGATCAAAACAGAGATAGATAATGGATAGATACAAATAGAGATAGATAGTAGGTAGAGACTATCCATCCTCTCCATATAATCTTTGCTTTTGGATCAAAATAGATAATGGATAGATACAAACAGAGATAGATAATAGATATAGACTATCTATCCTCTCCATATAATATTTGCCTTTGGATCAATAAAGAGAGATATAGACTATCCATCCTCTCCATATAACTCTCGCTTTTGGATCAAAACAGAGATAGATAATGGATAGATACAAATAGAGATAGATAGTAGGTAGAGACTATCCATCCTCTCCATATAATTTTCGCATCTGGATCAAAACAGAGATAGTTAATGGATAAAATACAAGTAGAGATAGATAATAGGGATCCACCCTCTCCCTCTCACACATAGATCCCTCTCTTCTGTGGAAACAATGAAAATAAAGATTCGGGGTGTGTGTGGGGGGGGGAAAGAGATGGGAGCCTCGAGGATGGAGATACAAAGACAGGGGAGGGAGGGGCTGTTGTGGGAGGGTGGGGGGCGCCATGATGGCGACGCTGGGGGTGATAAAGGGGAGGAAGTGAAGAGCAAGTGCCCCCTTTTCCCTCCCTGCCTCTCCCCTCCCTGCTTGCCTGACTCTCCATATCAACGGGCGCGGCGGCCATTTTGAGAGCGAACTGGAAAGGAGGAGGAGGGAAGAGGGAGAGAAGAGAGGGAGGCGGCGGCGGGGCCTTGTTGCCTCCTCTTCCCTGTGAGGCCTAACAGGGAGACGAAGCCTGGCTCGATTTCCCGTCCCTGTCTCCCTGTGGAAGCCGGCCTGACTGACCTACCCGAAGCGGGGTGTTTTCCTTCTCGTTCCGCTGCCGAGGCCGCTCCCATTCACAGAGGGAGCCGGGTGCCTTGTGAGGAAGGCAGGAAGGGAGGGAGGCGGCGGCTGGGCCACGCCAGAGACAGGCCTCGGGGCCCCCTCCCCTTTTGCCGGCTTGTGAGGAGAAAGAAGATGGAGGAAGCCCGCCGGAGGAGGAGGAGGAGGAGGAGGAGGAAGAGGAGGGGGAGGAAGTGGGCGTGGCCTAGCGCGGGCGGACTACGCTTGCGCGGCGGAGGCAGCCGGCGCCATCTTGTCGGGGGCGTGGCTTTCGCCCCGGCTTGCGGCCCGCTCCGAGGAGTGCGCCTGCGCAGAAAGAGGGAGGGAGGGAGGGAACGCGGGAGGGAGGGAGCGGGCGCCATCTTGGCAGAGGGGGGAAAGGCTCCCGGCATGCCTCGCGCGGGCAGAGACTCAGAACAGCACTTGAGAAACCAGCCTGGGCACAGCCTATTATTGTTATTATTGGAGAACACAGAAATGATGGCCCACTCTCAGAACCACATCAGGCTACACAGAGAAGCCACTGAAATCCATAAGTATATGGACAATTTGATTAGCATTTAATGGCCTTGTAGCTTCAAAGCCTGGCTGATTGCTGCCTGGGGAGGAAAACCATGAAAATGGGCAAAATCTGGCGACCAGTATTACAAAATAACCACTCTCACAACCACCATGTCAGGCTACACAGAGAAGCCACTGAAAACCACAAGTATATGGACAATTTGATTAGCATTTAATGGCCTTGTAGCTTCAAAGCCTGGCTGATTGCTGCCTGGGGAGGAAACCAAGAAAATGGATGCAATCTGGCGACCAGTGTTACAAAATAAACCCTCCAAAATCAGGACAGTAAATAAAGAGCAACACTAAAAAAAAAACTAATATTGTGCTATGCTAATAATAGGCTTCTTGTGGGTTTTATTTATTTACTTTACTTTACTTGTATACCGCAGTTTCTCAGCCCAACAGGCGACTCAACGCGGTTTACAAGGGTAAAAAAAAATCAAACAATATACAATTTAAAATCATTAAGCGCATAGTATACACAATAATAATACATCAGTAACAGCCCCATAACATCTCGTAACTAGAATCGTAATCCAATCCGTCGTCCATAATTCCGTTCCTGTATTCATCATATTCATTGCGCTGTTTATCCGAATGCGCGTTCACACAGCCAAGTTTTTAATTTTCTTCGAAACACCATTAGCGAAGGGGCTGATCTAACCTCTGTAGGAAGGGCGTTCCACAGCCGAGGGGCCACCACAGAGAAGGCCCTGTCCCTCGTCCCCGCCAGCCGCGCCTGTGAAGCTGGCAGGATAGAGAGCAGGGCCTCCCCAGAAGATCTTAGAGTCCTGGCGGGCTCATAGGCAGAGATACTTTTTTCGGGCTATATGGCCATGTTCTAGAGGCATTCTCTCCTGACGTTTCACCTGCATCTATGGCAAGCATCCTCAGAGGTAGTGAGGCCTGTTGGAACTAGGAAAAAGGGTTTATATATCTGTGGAATGACCAGGGTGGGACAAAGGACTCTTGTCTGCTGGAGCTAGGCTAATCAAGGTGGTCAGTTGAAACATTCACACCTAGTTCCCCTAAAGGTTAGCAAATAACTTAGAAGAAAAGGGATTAAGGAGGGTAAAAGATATGTGGGAACAAGATGGAGAGATAATTAATTGGCCAGAGTTTTTGGAAAAGGGGGGGGGGAAGAAAATTGGTTAAAATTAAGAGGGATTTGGGAAAAAGTAAAAAAAGAGGGTGCACAGCCCACTGAAGAACGAAAGGTAGATAAATTGCTAAATGCAAGAGAAAAAACAAGTAAAGGAACAGTGGCAAAAATATATAGTTTAATGGTAGAAGATAAAGAGTTTATGTTTAGAGCAATAAGTAACAAATGGAATGGAGTTAAATCATTACAGACAAAAGAAATAGAGGAAATAATTAGGAACATGAATAAAATAAAAATAGAAAAATATAATGAATTGGGAAAAATATAATATAATGCATTAGTAAATGCATGAAAGTAACCTTTTCTGGGCCGCGGGAGACCACAGCCCTGCCTGGGATGCCTTCCTGGCCGAATCTGCACTCTTCCAAACCGCGGATACGAAAACTCCTCGGGCCCCCATATCCACAAGATGGCGGATCAGCTCCATTTTGATGGCATATTTTTCCTGGCGAAATTCTAACACTATCTGCTATCTCACTCCTTGCATTTCGGCTCTCTACGCTTGGGGAATAACCTTTTGAATTTTAAGAATATAATTTAAGGAAACAGCTGATTGTCAAAATCCAAGCCTCGCTGCTGCCACACTGCCTTCTTTGTTTCTTCATCCTTCCAAAGCCCCTGCCCTGGGGACTTGCTGCGGTCACCCCATGAGGCTTCCAGGGAGCAGACTGACCACCGGGCTTCTGTCCTTGGAAGGAGCTGTAGTTTTCCAAGGACCAAGGACTAGCCTCGATCTCAGCGCTGCAGGACTCCAACCTTTGGCTCAGTGGAAACCACCAAGCTTTTCTTTTTGACTCTATGACACTCTGCCATGTTCCTTGGACTTCATTTTTCGTCATGAACTTGCCTTCGCCCATGAAATTCCCAGGATGAACTTGTATTGAGTTATGATCATAATGACCTTTTTATGAATTGCTCTAGAAGGTGGAGGGGGGTGTCTAAATATGATTTTCTTATGATTCCTATATGTATTTCCCCATGCTTCCGACCTTGCCCTGACCCTTTTTTGCCCCCTTCCCTTTCCTTGGAGGAAGTTGCCCTGCCTCTGGAAATAGCAATCAGCAATCATGAAAGAACTCTTATCTTAGGACATATTTGCATGGAAAATAGAACAGAAAAATCCTTTTTTACCTTGGAGTTGGGCCATCAGAAGGGATTTTCGCTTGGCAGACTTTTAATTACATAATAAAGGGGCAAAGACGACCCTCAAAAAGTTCATTTTCCCCAAAACCTGTTTTTCTCTTTCAAACCTCTCCACAAAGGACATCCACCCAAGCCTCCCCATTGTGTCATATCTGATGGTGACAGGAAAACTCGGATTAAGCAATCACTGCTTATCACAGACCCATCTAAAGACAATAAAATTAGTTTCTCTTGAAGGCCAGATTCCGGACTCGGGAAGCCCCAAGACATTGGAATTCCATAATCCACTCAAGAAAGCATTGTTCTCCTTCGTCCTGCCTCCCTGCCTTCTGATTCGCCAGAGCGCCGAGGCGGCAGGAGCTTCCTGATAGGTTCAAGCACGCTGCAAGAACTCTGTGATTGGCCCTGGCGCGGGGAGGGCGGCCGAGACTCCTGCCAGCTGTTATCACGCTAGCCAATCACCGTCGAGCCGGGAGGAGGGCGGGGAGCGGGAATTTTGAAACTCACAACTCTGTAGTTCCTATAAAAATGCCATTTATTTCTGTAACCACATGCTTTGCTGGCGAATGATTGCGGCTCTGCATCCTATTCAGCTGAATTGCTTAATAAACATTCGATGGCGCTTCTTCAACCTTGGTGAGACTTTTTCTGGGAAATTAGGGAAATAAATATTGCTTAAAAGTCAGGCTTCTCTTGGCTTGCAAAGGTGGGTCCACAGGGTCTCTCCTCCTAAAGTTCCTATCGACTTCACAGAGAATTTGGTCAATGCCCACCAAATCCTTCCAGTATTTTCTGTTGATGATGGGAGTTCTGTGTACCAAGTTTGGTTCAATTCCATCGTTGGTGGAGTTCAGAATGATCTTTGATTATAGGTGAACTATAAATCCCAGCAACTACAACTTCCAAATGTCTAAATCTCTCTCACACACACACACCCAGACCCCACCAGGATTCAGATTAAGGTGTATCAGGTATTTGTGCCAAATTTGGTCCAGTGAATGAAAATACATCCTGCATATCAGATATTGACATGACGATTCATAACAGCAGCAAAATGACAGTTGTGAAGTAGCAACAAAAGTAATTGTATGGTTAGGGGCACCAACAGGTTTATTTATTTGATAAAAATAGAAGGAGTGTAGGTGACTGTCTTCTGACCAAAAACGAGCAACAGCAATGGCACTGTCTGTAGCCTCCAACATGTTTTCCTCTGTACATGAGGCAGGGCACAGTGGACAAGCATACAGATGCAGAGTTGTCTGTTCTGCTCCACAGTCACACAAGGTGTGGGATTCTTTTAGGTAGTGCCATTTTGCCAGGTTGTCTTTTGATCTGCCCACTCCACTTCTGAGTCTATTCAGGGACTTCCAAGTTGCCCATTCTTGGTTTGCCCCTGGAGGAAGACCCTCTCTTGTGGGGGGCCATCCAGTTGGGGTTTCCTGGTTGAGCTGCCCAGAGAGATACCCTTGCTGTTGCTGGGGGGACATTTAGAGGAACGGTGGTTCTCATTAAGCTTCCCTTGATTTAAGTCTACTGGGAGGAAACTGGTAGCCATGTAGTGGGTGGCTTTCACAGTGTTCAACCTTATTTCTCTCACAGTTAGCAGCAACTTCCCATTGCACATCTGGGGGGGGGGGGGGGGGGGGGATGCCAGCTAGCTTGTAGAGTTTATCAACAGGAATTGCTCCCCAGGCAGCAATCAGCCAGGCTTTGAAGCAACAAGGCCATTAAATGCCTCCAAAACACCTAATGGGCCGAAGTTTACCCATGGCTGCTATAGATGATATTGCAGTAATGGTCCTTAGGAAACCGATTAGGCCTCCCTGCCAACTCAAAGACCGGGGGGGGGGGGGGGGGGATAACTCCACAAAATAATGATGCACAAAAGCCGTCCCTGCGAGCGTTGTTTGTCTTTTCGCGTCTGACCAGTTGGGAAGAGGAGTCAAAAAGTAATGAATGACTAGAGCCTGTATTATAACTCTCACCTGGTGCGAAGACAGGAAAGATCAAATGAGGTGCAAAGGGCTGAATGGCACTTATTTTTCAGAAAAAAAATAATTTAAGTGTGGCAGGCAGATATGTGTGTTTAGCAAGCTTTGTGTGTGGTTGCATCTCAAAGAAAAGAATACTTCACAACATTCAGCTAGGCTTTTGGGAAGCGGGACACGCTTATGTTTTATTGTCTGTCGCTTTCCAAAGCAAGACCCGATTTGCCTCGTCATTCCTTGATCCTGTGTTTCAATTGGGAAGTCTCTGAGGAGAAATGCAACCTGTGTCAAAACAAGGCGGAAAGAAGAAAGGCTGAAAAGGCAT